ATGCTGGGAACATGACAACAGGCCAACAAAGAGCTTTGGTTGGGTTGTTAAGAAGAAGGCTAGTGAATTAGGTTATAGGAGTTATTCTCCAGCTGTGGTCCAGCTGTTCCTCTTTGGTTACTGCCACAGCCTGGAATTGATCTTGGCCTCCTTGAACTGATGAGAGATGAACGTTGGGGAAACTGTAAGATCTTCAAGTCATAAATCAGTTACCACAATTAAATACAGATTTATGGATCTAAAGACCCTAAAACTGGTAGAACAGCAGCAGCAGCAGTGATCACAGAATTCCATTTGGAGTGTGGGAAGAGACTCAGTGATGATGTATCTGTGTTTACATGTGAGATGATGGCCATAGAGTTATTGCATTGCAGTGGGTAGAGGACGTCAGGCCAGAGAGAGTGGTGATTGCATCAGACTCATGTGCAGTGCTAACGAGTTTGACACGTTGCCACTCCAGAAGCAGAGAGGATTTACTGTTTGGATTCCATCAAATGCGGATAGCGGTTCATTTAGTGTGGGTCCATGTTGGAGTCGATGGCAATGAGAAGGTGGATAAAGCAGCAAAAAGGGCTTTGAAGAGTGGGAGAAATAACGTTAATGTAAATATAAGTAAGTCAGAAGCTAAAGTGGTGATTAAGGGACAAATCAAAAAGATATGTCAGAACGAATATAATAAAGGGAGTAAAGGAAGATATCTGTTTAAAGAGGAACCGTGGACCATGTTTTATTGTCCTGTCAGAGGTACGAGTCAGCAAGAGAAGTTTTGAAAAAAGGTCTAATAGAGATTGGAGAGGAAAATATCATTAATGTACTGAAGAAAAGCTTTAGTGACAAATGTTGGAAACTTTTTCTGGAATATTTAGAGTCAACAACACTAATGAATAGAATTTGAGAAAGAAATGTATTATTATTAATTTTTTCTATTTTATTATTTTATTTTTTCTATATGTATATATGTATATATTTATATACATATCTTTATTTATTTACACACATATGTATGTATGTGTGTGTATATATGTATATGTATTCCTTTTCGTTTGGTTGTGGTATTAGAGTCCTTAGTCCACTCCAGATCAGTGAGAGGCGGTAATGCACCCGAAAGCTGTTTGCCAACCTCCAAAAAAGCAAAAGAAAGAAGAAGAAGAAGCAGGCGGCTAAAACGGTCCGACTTGAACGCAGTTTTTTGTCAACGCCCCTTTCTACGTCCGCCTGCTCTCGTCTGCTTTCCAGGCGAGGCGCAGTTCAACTCGAACGAGCCTAAAATCTTCACCGGCACGCAATGCATCTATCAATAATGATAAAATAGTCTTTTAAATAAGACAGCCTCGTCACAGCCGCTGGATTGGGTCATAATATAAGGGTTAGGGTTATCTTAACATAACTAACGTGTCTGTTTAGTGGTTTAATTAAAAAGATGGAGCAGTAACTGTCTGGATCCACAAGGTGGCAGCAATGCAACAGAACCATAGAAGAAGAAGAAACTACGGTGAGGTGAAATGCATGCCGGGATACCTGTCTTGGTGGATAATTTGAAGTGGAAGCTAACGTTAGCAAAAGGATGCAGAGGTCTGTGTTTAGTTTGTCTCTGAGTCCCAGTGTGAAGAGGAAACTGGTCAACGCTGGTTTCCAGTTCACCAACGACCTGCTGCACCTCAAACCAGTTCAACTCAGTAAAGGTAACTTTAACTCTAACAAGGATTTAACGTTTTATCTTTCTGGTTTTATCAGGAACATGAACGAAACACTGACGTCATTAACACATAAGTAAGAGATCAGAGATCAGGTCAGAGTTAGCTAGGTTTAACTAACTCAGAGTGGACTAATTTATTTGGCATCATTACACAAATAATGATGCTTCTCACACATTCACATTTCACTTTGTATCACATGTTACTTTACATATATATATATATATATTGTCTTTATCATAAACATTCTACCCAGCAGTGTTATTTGTGTACTAGTGAGCTGTAACTTCTCTATATCTCCTTTATATTGTAAAGACATGAACCAACTTAAAGGCCCTCGTGGTCAGCTGATGAAGTTATCATCTGTCACCTCAGAGTTCTGGGTTATTTTACTTTATATCACCAACTACCATCTTAGTATACATGTATGCATTGAACACAACTTTATTGATTTATTCTAGGCAGGACTTTAGTGTTCTGGCCTCTCTGTGAAGAGTAACAGTAGAAAACAACTGAACCTTTAAACTGTCAATCTGTTACCTGGGGGAGAAAAATATCTCCTGATTGGTCAGGACAGATCGGAAGATGAACTTTTAATCTAGAGTGACGACTGCTGCTCTACTGGATGTGATGTTTGACGTTGTGTTGCAGAAGCCACTCTGTCCGAGCTGGAGGCGCTAGAGGTGCTGCAGGCTGTGAGGAAGGAGGGAGGAGGAGGCGGCGGCGATGAAGCAGGAGCATCATCCTCTCTGACTGCTCTGGAGCTCCTGCAGAAGGAGGAAGAGTTGAGGAGCATCGTGACGTTTTCTTCTCAGCTGGATGCTGCTCTCGGAGGAGGACTTCCTCTCGGGAAAACAACAGAAATCTGTGGAGCTCCAGGAGTCGGAAAAACACAGCTTTGGTCAGAAGCTCACACATTGTAACACACTGTCATACATTGTCGCACATTGTAACACACTGTCATACATTGTCGCACTTTGTAACACACTGTCATACATTGTCGCACATTGTAACACACTGTCACACATTGTAACACACTGTCACACATTGTAACACACTGTCATACATTGTCACTGACTGTCACACACTGTAGCACACTGTCGCACACTGTAGCACACTGTCATACATTGTAGCACATTGTCATACATTGTAGCACACTGTCATACATTGTAGCACACTGTCATACACTGTAGCACACTGTCATACACTGTAGCACACTGTCATACATTGTAACACACTGTCGCACACTGTCATACACTGTCGCACACTGTCGCACACTGTCATACATTGTAGCACACTGTCATACATTGTAACACACTGTAGCACACTGTCGCACAATGTAGCACACTGTCGCACAGTGAAGTAGGTAGACCTGCACATTGTTAGTAGTTTTGAATGTTTTGTCTGCAGCTGATCAATACAGTTATTGATGATATCATCTCTTAGCCTGCAGCTAGCGGTGGACGTTCAGGTGCCTCAGTGTTTCGGGGGGATCGGTGGTCAGGTAGTCTACATCGACACAGACGGCAGCTTCTTCCTTCAGAGAGTCGTCGATATCGCCGCCGCCGCTGTCCAACACTGCTCCTTATTGGTCGAAGACGATGAGCAACAAGTCGCCATGACGACCTTTACCGTGGAAACCATCCTGTCCAACACGTTCCTGGTAATGGTGACAGATTGTCATGGTAACAGACTGTTACATTGTAGCAGACCATCAAAGGAATCTCTGATCCTGCTGATCATTGATCCATATTAACAGATACAGATCTCATAGTGTCGGTGGTTCGCGCTAGTTGTCAACTGGCCAGCCAGTGTTTCTCAGATTGGAGTGAGACGAGGAGGAAAGGTGATGTCATTATCGCGATTTAGGAGGAAAACAACATAACGTAACCCCCCCCCCCCCCCGTCACATATCTACTTGTTTCCTCTCTCCTCGCATGGTTTCCTCCATGCATCCCTGGTGGGAGGGACTAAGACACAAGGAAAGGGCCCAAGTGAGGGAAACGGGGATGCAATTAAGAGACTTGGGATGAACCCACAGACACGCCCCCTCTGTGAGAGTCACACAGACACACACCTGGGGCAGGTGCTGACAGAAGCAGCAGAGTAAAGCTAGACGGGCCCAATAGTAACATCCCAGTCACCACAGAAAGGTCGACCCTCTCCCCAGACAATGTAGATATTCTCATATTTTTGAACAATGTTTTAAAGTTGTAGACCATTTCACAGTAATGTAAACATTATTGTGTATTTGAAAAACATAACCTGACAGGAAGTAAACATAGACTCAAGTTGTTGCCTAGCCGTTCAGTTCAGTTGAAACAGTGGAAGCTAGCTCACTGGCTGTTTCTTTCTTTCAGTATTGATCAAAGGACGAGGGCATCAACATACCTCATGTTGCACTTAAACTTAACAGGATTGAGGATTCTTGAATGTTTTATTTTTGTTATTTATTTTTTCAAATTGGACATCTTCAATATCTTAGTTTTTATGTAAGACTATATACTATATACAGTGTATATATATATATATATATACTATAGCCCATATTCCAAAGTTCTTTGCTTTAAGTGTTCTTGAAGTTCTTTAATTAATAAATGGAGAGCAAAGTTATATTTGTCTCTTTTCTTTGCTGATCCAAACCGTGACTCAAGAACCATGAGGTTTGTGATCCGCTGCGCCCTAGTTAGTGGTAGTGTTGGTGGTAGTGGTAGTGTTGGTGGTAGTGTTGGTGGTAGTGTTGGTGGTAGTGTTGGTGGTAGTGTTGGTGGTAGTGTTAGTGGTAATGGTAGTGTTAGTGGTAATGGTAGTGGTAGTGTTGGTGGTAGTGGTAGTACTATTAATTATTAATTTACCTAAAAAGATCCTGAAGGCATCCTGACGACGTTATAATTTAAAGTAAAACTTTATTGATACTGTGATGGTTAACGGTCCGTTACACCACTAGTGATGACATCACACATCAGGAGCTTGTAATGATTCTGATTGGCTGTCTCGCTCAGGTGCGTTGCCATGACTACGTTGAGCTGCTGGCAGAGCTCCACCTGCTGCCTGACTTCCTGTCTGACCACCCGAGGGTCCGCCTCCTAGTGATTGACAGCGTGGCGTTTCCGTTCCGTCAGCACTTTGAAGATCTGTCTCAGAGGACACGCCTTCTCAACGGCCTCGCCCAGCAGCTCATCGCCATGGCAACCAGTCACAACATGGCCGTGTTGATGACCAACCAGATGACCACCCGGCTGCGTGGCGGCCAATCGCAGCAGGTCCCTGCCCTCGGGGAGACCTGGGGCCACGCCCCCACCTCCAGGCTCCTCCTACACTGGGCGGGGTCACGGCGGCTGGCTGCCATCTTTAAATCCCCAGATCACACGGGGGCCACCGTCCAATACCAGATCACCTCTGAGGGGTTCAGAGACGTCGACCAATCGGAGCAGATGCACACCGTCCAATCAACGGCGAGCCAGAGAGACACCGGCCACTGATTGGTCAGAGACCAAAGTTACTGTGATCAACACGAAAACCATGTGTAATATTTATGAATATTAATAAAGTCAAACACAAACAAACATGAGATCCAGTAAAAAAGAGTAAACAACCAGAATCATTAACAGCCTGTCTGTCTCTGCTGTCTCTCTTCCTGTCTCTGCTGTCTCTCTTCCTGTCTCTGCTGTCTCTCTTCCTGCCTCTGCTGTCTCTCTTCCTGTCTGTCTGTCTCTGCTGTCTCTCTTCCTGCCTGTCTGTCTCTGCTGTCTCTCTTCCTGTCTTGTCTGTCTCTCTTCCTGTCTTGTCTGTCTCTTCCTGTCTTGTCTGTTTCTCTTCCTGTCTTGTCTGTTTCTCTTCCTGTCTGTCTCTCTGGTACTCTGACCTCTGTGCTGGACTTCAGGTTTGACTTTGATTAAGTATAAAGGTTTTAATATAAAGGCTTGAATAAAAAGGTTTAAAAACACCAATGATGAGAGGTTTTAATTGACAATGGTACAGTACAAAACATGTCTATGTGAATGATGTCCTGCTGTACCCGGTTGAGATAGACACCACCATCCTGTCTACTTGAATGTTTAGAACAGTTTGGGCACATATCGGGTTTTAAAGTTAATCTATCAGAAACCGAGGCCGTGCCTATTGGTGCTCTGGCCGGCTCTACGCCACCGAGTGGATTCCCTCTTCACTGGTCACTCAGGGAGAGAACCTACCTCGGAATTCTTTTATTTATTTATTGGTTTATTTGATATGGGACAGAGCACATTAATAAAAACCTTTCTGTAAATGCGCCAGAGTTAAAGCCAAAAGGCTATTTTTCATCTGTAGTCCCAAGAGGCAGATGTTTACAAAATCAACCTAAAAACAGAAGATAAGATTGAACTTAAAAGGTTAAACAATACACTTAACAATGCGTGCACAAACAATGAAAAAAGTGAGAATAAAACTCTTATACATTGTATTTAAGTACAAACAAGACATGCAACACAGAGGCTCTCAAAGTCAACACACCGCAAATAAAATAAAGAACTGTTAAAATAGAAACATGGACTAAAGACAGTATTATGCTGTAGTTGTTAGACACTAAGAAACATCCACGTCAGAGGCACAAAACAAAAAAGCATACAGAGTGTGTGAAATACAATACACAGCTAAACAACAATAAGAGACATGCATGCAGGTAGATGAGGGTCGACCGGCAATTTCAAGACAGACAGACAGACAGACAGACGGGTGACAACAGACAGACGGGTGACAACAGACAGATCGAGGGAAGTTCAACACAGACAGAGGTGCAGTTAAATTCTAGTGCTGACAGAGCTGAGTACTAACGAACCATTTCTGTAAGTGAGCTTTAAATGAACTGTATGTGTGTAGTTCTCTAATGGTCACTGGGATGGAGTTCCATTGTAGTGCAGCTTGTACTGAAAATGCAGACTGACTGAAAACACTTTTCCTGAGTGGGATAATGTGATCCCCTCTTGCTGCTCCTCTTGTGAGCCGATATCCAGTTGTTCTTGTGATAACAAATTGTTTGAGCGGAGGAGAGGTCAAGCCATGTATAATGTTGTACATGAGACAGACATTCACATATTTAATCATGTTCTCCCAACTAAACAAGTTATATTTTGTTAGTATAGGGCAATGATGAGAAAGAACAGATTGTTTATCAAGGATTTTGAGTGTTGGTTTATACAATGACTAGTGGTTTCAGAGTAGTGGTACTAGCCTGGGACCAGGTTGTTGTGATATGGGAAACAAACATAGAAAGCATGTATGTCTTAGCTGCCTCTGTTGACTTGTAGTTTCGTGTGAACCTGAAATTTGATAGATTAAATCTGACCTGGTTACAGACCTTTTCACCTGAGACTTGAATGATGATTTGGAATCAAAAAGTACTCGGAGATACTTGGAGTCAGGTACAACCCGTACCTCTCCCCAGATACACAAACATCCGGCTCTACACTACCACAGTTTGTTTTGGTAAAAAACATACACACTGTTTTGGATACGTTTATGAACGGATTTAATAAATTAATCACCTCGTTCATTAACGTCTCGTGCGTGCGTTCAGTACCGGAGCGTGCTGTGACGTCACTCACGGTGCACCGGAGGACGCACCGGAGCAGCAACATGGCTGCAGACTACTGGGAGAATCTGTCAGACTGAACCGAGCCAAAGGCAACCCGGGACAGACCGGGGCAACCTTCCCCCAGTGAGTAATGCACACCGTCGAGCTTCGTGTGTTACCGGGGAACGGAGCCGTTAAACCCGCTCCGCCTCCGCTGCTATTTATATCACACTGATCACATTTACTGCAGGACATAGACGGGCCCCATCGTCACACTGATACAGCAGCATCAGCACATAGACGGGCCCCATCCTCACACTGATACAGCAGCATCAGGACATAGACGGGCCCCATCCTCACTGATACAGCAGCATCAGGACATAGACGGGCCCCATCCTCACACTGATACAGCAGCATCAGGACATAGACGGTACCACAGTCTTCATCTTCACTAAATATCAATAGAGAAAGACATCATGCACTGTGATGTTCAGCACAATAAACTAATCCAACAAAGGTTGATCAATTTAACACTTTAGAAGCAGCTGGACTGATATGAAGTGTTTTGAGGGTGTGCTGGTGAAGATGTTTATCAGTGGACATAAAGCACCTGATAAATGTTCACATGAATGATCGACAATGTGAAGATACAGAAGAGGCTTTAATTATCATGTTGATTATGTTTAATGTGTCTCTAACCCTGGTCTCCTGCCAACGGGTATTCAAATAATTTACTAAAAGTATATATATATATATATATATATGTGTATATAT